TCTGTATGTGGCTGTCCAATTTTCCCAACACCATTTGTTGAAGAGGCTGTCTTTTTTCCACTGGACATTCTTTCCTGCTTTGTTGAAGATTAGTTGACCATAGAGTTGAGGGTCCATTTCTGGGCTCTTTATTCTGTTCCATTGATCTATGTGTCTGTTTTTTGTGCCAGTACCATACTGTCTTGATGATGACAGCTTTGAAATAGAGCTTGAAGTCCGGAATTGTGATGCTGCCGGCTTAGCTTTTCTTTTTCAACATTCCTCTGGCTATTCGGGGTCTTTTCTGGTTCCATACAAATTTTAGGATTATTTGTTCCATTTCTTTGAAAAAATTTGATGGTATTTTGATGGGGATTGCACTGAATGTGTAGATTGCTCTAGGTAGCATTGACATCTTCACAATATTTGTTCTTCCAATCCATGAGCGTGGAATGTTTTTCCATTTCTTTGTGTCTTCCTCAATTTCTTTCATGAGTATTTTAAAGTTTTCTGAGTACAGATCCTTTGCCTCTTTGGTTAGATTTATTCCTAGGTATCTTATGGTTTTGGGTGCAATTGTAAATGGGATCGACTCCTTAATTTCTCTTTCTTCTGTCTTATTGTTGGTGTACAGGAATGCCACTGATTCCTGTGCATTGATTTTATATCCTGCCACTTTACTGAATTCCTGTATGAGTTCTAGCAGTTTTGGGGTGGAGTCTTTGGGGTTTTCCACATAAAGTATCATATCATCTGCAAAGAGTTTGACTTCTTCTTTGCCAATTCAGATGCCTTTTATTTCTTTTTGTTGTCTGATTGCTGTGGCTAGGACTTCTAGTACTATGTTGAATAGCAGTGGTGATAGTGGACATCCCTGCCTTGTTCCTGACCTTAGGGGGAAAGCTCTCAGTTTTTCCCCATTGAGAATGATATTCGCTATGGGTTTTTCATAGATGGCTTTTATGATATTGAGGTATGTACCCTCTATCCCTATACTCTGAAGAGTTTTGATCGAGAAAGGATGCTGTAGGGCGCCTGGGTGGCTCAGTTGGTTAAGCGACTGCCTTCGGCTCAGGTCATGATCCTGGAGTCCCTGGATCGAGTCCCGCATCGGGCTCCCTGCTCGGCGGGGAGCCTCCTTCTCCCTCTGACCCTCCCCCCTCTCATGTGCTCTCTCTCTCTCATTCTCTGTCTCAAATAAATAAATAAAATCTTTAAAAAAGAAAGGATGCTGTATTTTGTCAAATGCTTTTTCTGCATCTATTGAGAGGATCATATGGTTCTTGTTCTTTCTTTTATTAAGGTATTGTATCACACTGATTGATTTGCGGATGTTGAACCAAACTTGCAGCCCAGGGATAAATCCCACTTGGTCGTGGTGAATAATCCTTTTAAAGTACTATTGGATCCTATTGGCTAGTATTTTGGTGAGAATTTTTGCATCCATGTTCATCAAGGATATTGGTCTGTAATTCTCCTTTTTGATGGGGTCTTTGTCTGGTTTGGGGATCAAGGTAATGGTGGCCTCATGAAACGAGTTTGGAAATTTTCCTTCCATTTCTATTTTTTGGAACAGTTTCAGAAGAATAAGTATTAATTCTTCTTTAAATGTTTGGTAGAATTCCCCTGGGAAGCCATCTGGCCCTGGGCTTTTGTTTGTTGGGAGATATTTGATTACTGCTTCAATTTCCTTAGTGGTTATAGGTCTGTTCAGGTTTTCTATTTCTTCCTGGTTCAGTTTTGGTAGTTTATACATCTCTAGGAATGCATCAATTTCTTCCAGATTATCTAAGGAAAATTCACTTTTTTTTTTTTAAGATTTTATTTTATTTTTTAGAGAGCAAGCGAGAGAGAAACAGCATGAGAGGGGAGAGGGTCAGAGGGAGAAGCAGGCTCCCTGCTGAGCTGGGAGCCCGATGTGGGACTCCATCCCAGGACCCTGGGATCATGACCTGAGCCAAAGGCAGACGCTTAACCATCTGAGCCACCCAGGCGCCCGGAAAATTCACTTTTAATAATATTGAGATTTAGGGTTTGGATACAAAACAAGACAAAAGCATCTAAAGGATTTTAAATCTTGTGTCTAACACATTTTCCAGGTGTTAATTTTACTAGGAAATTTGCCTCCACACCCAAAACTAGATGTCAATGTGAAGAAGATTTATAATAGACTGTTGATGAAATAATATGGAATTTGATCCAAAGCAATGAATTCATTTGATGTGGGGGTTGGAGGGGTCAGAATGTCATGTTTGAACACCACATGGTTTAGAAGACTGTGTTTAGGTGTGTTTGTGAGTCCATTCCCAATCCAGAAATAGATATTCACATGAATTTCTTGGGGCTGGGCTCTCAGATGTCCTGGAAGCTTGTCTATAGAAGGTCTGATGCTTGAACAAAGACTATGGAATCTGCATTCAGAAATGCAGAAAGGCATTTTCTTTGGAAAATTAAGAGAAAGAAGGGCAAACATCGACTCAGCTGTTCAACTGGCTTTTCAGGTAGGGGTTTAAATGTTCACATCTGGGTGTGAATAAGCAAATATGCTGAAATCATCCATCTGTGTTGAGGTTTTAGTCCCGAGAGAAAAATTTAAGAAATTATAAGAAAGGGGATTTTAGTCTTAGAAATATATTATCCGGGGCGCCTGCGTGGCTCAGTTGGTTGGGCGACTGCCTTCGGCTCAGGTCATGATCCTGGAGTCCCGGGATTGAGTCCCGCATCGGGCTCCCTGCTCGGCGGGGAGCCTGCTTCTCCCTCTGACCCTCCCCCCTCTCATGTGCTCTCTCTCTCTCATTCTCTGTCTCAAATAAATAAATAAAATCTTTAAAAAAAAAAGAAATATATTATCCAAGATTTTATTAATTTTAGAATACCTGTTTTATTTCTAATGGTACTATGGAGGTCTACATCTCGGTTTCTTATTCTGAAAAATTAGGACTGGTTGGGGAAGAAGAATGGAAGTAATTTGAAAATACAGAATTCTTTAATCTGGCTATTTCCATGCTTAAGCTATCCTCAGAAAGCAATACAGATATACAATTTGACCCCCAGTTTCCTTATTTTATGTATTTACATTTAAAAACAATAATGAATTTGTTTATTTTCTCTGAACTCAGGCAAAGAAATTCAGACTTTCTTCAACAACTACAACAACATGGGGGCACCTGACTGGCTCCGGTGGTAGAACATGCAACTCTTGGTCTTAGGGTTGTGAGTTTAAGCCCTATGCCGGGTGGAGCCTATGTAAACAACAATAACACATTGTATGGGTAAGGAAAATTTTTATTTTTTTTTAATTTAATTTTTTTTATTTTAAGTAGGCTCTACACCCAACATGGGGCTTGAACTCATGACCCTGAAATTAAGAATCACATGCTCTACCGATTGAGCCAGCCAGATGCCCCAAGAAAATGTTTAAATAGGGATACCTGGGTGGCTCAGTCGGTTAAGCATCTGCCTTGGGCTCAGGTCATGATCTCAGGGTCCTGGGATCAAGCCCTACGATGGGCTCCCTGCTCAGCGGGGAGCCTGCTTCTTCCTCTCCCTCTGCCACTCCCTCTGCTTGTGCATTCTCTCTTTCTCCCTGTCAGATAAATAAAATATTTTAAAAAAAGAAAATGTTTAAATAGTAACATGAAAATGATAACCTAAACCAAGGCTATGATTTATCTAATAAATATTTATTGAGCTTCTGCTATGTACATGGCACTATCATGATTAGCCTAACAAACTGAATAAGAAAATGTAGAAGCACTTATAATGTTTGTGAGGACTCTCAGGGTTAAAAGGGATAGAAATACCATTCAAACCAGCTCAAGTGATAAAGAGAATTTATTGGCTCATTTTGCTGAAAAGTTCAAGAATTGCTTAGGTACTGCTGGATCCTAGGTCTTCATGTCTGATCTCTTAGCTCTGCCTTCCTTGAAAAGATTTAGATGAGCTAGAAAGGAAACTCACAGTTTAAAGACATTAAGGTCATATATACAATCACCATTAAGGAAAATCTCCCTTGAGACTCATTTCTCTTGGCTCACTCTCTGTCTTTAAAATGAAAGATTTGATCAAACACAATGAGAAACCACCTCACACCTGTCAGAATGTCTAAAACCAGAAACACAAGAAACAACAAGCATTGGCAAAGATACGGAGAAAAAGGAACCCCCTCACACCATTGGTAGGGATGCAAACTGGAGCAGCCACTGTAGAAAACAGTAAGGAGGTTCCTCAAAACATTAAAAGTGGAATCACCATATGATCCGGTAATTCCACTACTGGGTATTTACCCAAAGAAAATGAAAACACTAATTTGAACAGATCTATGCACCCCTATGTTTATTGCAGCTTTAATTATAATAGCCAAGATATGGAAGCCAAGGTATAGAAGCAACCCAAGGGTCCATCGATTGATGAATGGATAAAGAAGATGTGAGATATGGGGCACCTGGGTGGCTCAGTCGTTGAGTGTCTGCCTTTGGCTCAGGTCATGATCCCAGTGTCCTGGGATCAAGCCCCGCATTGGGCTCCCTGCTCCACGAGAAGCCTGCTTCTCCCTCTCCCACTCCCTCTGCTTGTGCTCCTGCTCTCGCTATCTCTCTCTGTCAAATAAATAAATAAAATCTTAAAAAAAAGATGTGAGATATATACATACACACATGTATATAGATATAGATAATGTAATATTACTCGGCCATAAAAAAGAATGAAATCTTGCTATTTGCAACAACATGGCTGGATCTAGAGGGTATGATGCTAAGTGAAATAAGTCAATCAGAGAAAGACAAATACCATATTATTTCACTCATCTGTGGAATTTAAAAAGCAAAACAAAGGAACAAAGAAAAAAAGAGACAAAAAAAACCAGACTCATAAATATAGAGCACTGGTGGTTGCCAGAGGGGAGGCAGGTGGGAGGATGGGTGAAATAGATGAAGGAGGTTAAGAGTACACTTACCATGATGATCACAGAGTAATGTATGGAATTGTTGAATCACTATATTGTACACCTGAAACTAATATAACATTGTATGTTAATTATGCTGGGATTAAAAAAAGAAAAATTAAAACAAAATTAAATTTTAAAACATTTGAGCTATCACTTCTAAGTTTTCCCCTACCTTCAACATTTAGATTTACAAATAAAAATACAGTAAATTTGAATTCCAGATAAACAACAAGTAATTTTTCAGTGAAAGTGTATACCAAATATTCTATGGGACATACTTATACTAAAAAGTGCTCATTGTTTATCTGAAATTCAAATTTAACGGGGCATCCTGCATTTTACCTGGCCACCCTAATCCTAGACCTAAGTATAATTTATTCATTTGCTCATTCATTTGTCTGTCCTTCTGTCCATCCATTCGTCCATCCATCCATCCATCCATTCATATAGGTACTAACTGGGCACCTGCTATGTGACCAGACACTCTGCTAGGTGCAGGGGACACAGTGATAAGCAAAACCAGATAAGATTCCTGCTCTCATGGGACTTTCAACCTCTCCAGCTGGGGAGAGTGACAATAATCATATAATCACCAAGGTAGATATATAATTGCTCAGTGAGTTAAGTGTGCTGAAGGAAAGGAGAGCGCATTACAAAGGACTAGAGGTCAGTGAAGGCTTCTTTCCCTAAGGAAGTGGTGCTTGAAATGAAAGGTGAAGTCTGGGTTGGATTTAACTGAGTGGGGGAAGAGTACTCAAGATGGAGGAACCAATGAATACTTCTTGTCTATGTTGAGATTAATGACTGTAGAGTTGAACTGAAAGATAGGTTGGCATCCTCTTTGGCAGAGCTAAAGAAAAACATGAGTAGGGGCTGCCTCTCACCTCCTCAGTCATTCTGGCTCCTCTTAGAGTCCCAGGCTTGCTTTGTGACCATAATGGCACACTTCCCATGAGTAGTAGTACCACTGTTACCATAGGTGAACGCTTCTTCAGATGTCAGTATAAGGAAGCATGAGCATCAGAACATACAACTTATGATGCCAGTCCTGAAAAGACGTTACTGGTTCTAGTTCACTCAGTTATCCAAGATGAAACTTCTGCATATTAACCATGAATAACACAAGGATGTGTTTTCTAAGTCAGGAGACCTGGATTCTGGCATTTATCCTGCTTGTAGCTATGTAGGTGAGGGAAGACATGCCATTTAGCCTTGATTTCCTCAGCTAACTAAGGGATTCACACCATGATTTCAGCCTACCTCATTGGACTGTGAGGATTAAAATAACATGGAACCTACTATTTGAAAAATGAGTTTTACTGTTCCTATATTATTGATCATACCAAAATAGTTACTCCCATTGTTTTAGGTGTGGATAACTTCTATACAATATTCAATATGTCCCCTAAAGTTATATTAGGTACACTGAAACTTGAACACATAAATGTGACATGAATACGTGCCTTTCAAGCTTTTTTCATCTGTTTAATAGAATAATCATATAGCATTGGCTCATGTTCCACTGATGTGAAGTTGAAGAAGTTGGTTGCTTCCCAAACACAAATATAAATCTGTTATTACTACTATCATTATAGCTGATGTTTCTTTTTTAACACATTAACTTCCCTCCGCTGAACAAACTGCTCAGTTGTTTGGAGGACTCATGTCGTCATTCCTCTCTTCTCGATGTGTCTTGTTGCTGTTGAACTAAACAATTCTTTAGCTCCCAGGATGCTTATTTAATAAATGATGCTGTGCAGTTCCCAAAGAAAGACTTCCAATTTTCCTCTTGTGTGATGGCTGTGATCAAGCTCCAGCACCCTGCAGTCTGGTTCAATGAGAATGTATACTGGGAACTCACTCACTACCTTGCTTGCTGTATTTAATCTGTTAAATTCTATTAACTGTAGCGGTACCTGATGTTTTTCGTCTTCTCTTAACAATTTTCTCCTCTACTTAACCCCAAACTTGGAGAAAAAGGTTAATTGCTATATATTTTTTAGTAAATTTTCTCTGAATTTTATAAGATGCTATGAAGGTTATCGGTATTTCATGCAACTCTTAAAATGCACACACACACGCATGCACGTGTGCACACGAAATTCATTCTGGCTAGAACTTGAGTGGAAATAATAGTTGATGGACCAAAATGATAGAGTCATGGAGTTATCAGAGATATTGAGATCAAGTTCAAATTCTTCATTTCACAGATGAAGAAACTGAGGTTCAGAGAACTTACATGATGTAGCCAAGGTCACATGACAAAGGCAGCGCAAAAATATAGACCTCCTGAGAACCAAATCCAGCCCACCCCTGCCTGTCTGTGGAAATAAAGTTTTGTTGCAACACAGCCACAGCCACTTGTTCTATTGTTGATGGCTGCATTTGTGCCATGCTGTCAGAATTGAACAGGTTGTTTTTGTTTTGTTTCACATTTTATTTACCTTTTTTTGGTGCAAAAAGGCGGTTTTATTAAAGCATAAGGACAGGACCCATTAGTTACTTATTTTTTAATTGAGGTATAATTGACATACAACATTATATTAATCAGGTATACAACATAATAATTTGATATTTGTATATATTGCAAAATGATCAGAGAAGTTTTAACAGAGATTATGTGGTTAACAGAACCTAAAATATTTACTAGACCTCTGCCTCCAGCCGGTGAAGGGACACGAAGTGTATATGAAGTGGGTGCTGGGGAGGTGGTGGGGGCAGCCAGGCCTGGAGTGGTGCACATCATTTCTACTCCCATTCCATTGGCAGACATTAGTAATATGGCTCCACTTAGATGCAAGGAGGGTTGGGAGATGTAGTCCTGAGTAGCTGATTCCCAGTGCAAATTCAACCCTAAGGAAGTGAGTGGGATCATGATTTTGATGGACAGCAAGCTGTCTATGCCATAGCTATGCCTAGTCAGGACCTGTTTGTCTCTTGTAGTGTGGTAGACACATTTGGCAGCTATCTGCTCAGTAAATGACCCCCATCTCTGAGAAGTATAGCTTTCCAGAGGGTGGGCCCCTTTGGCCATGTCTTTACTATCTAACACCACCACTTGCCATAGATAGTTATTGAATTAAAGGATGATATTGGCTCCAAAGATCTTTCTAGAAATTTTGATCACATACTAAGAGATGACAGTTTTTCTGTTTTTTTGTTTGTTTGTTTGTTTGGTTGTTTTTTTTTTAAGTATTCTTCATTTACTAAACTTTTTAACTAAAATGGTATATACAGACCCTCACTAGAGGCCACATTTTGTTTTAAATCGATTCCAAATGTTACATATGTCTGGGCCTTTAAAAATAATACACACAGCTTATTAGGCTAGGCTAGATGTATAGCACCATAAAAATAAAAATTGCCTGTAATTGGTAATACACATTTCACAAAGTGGAAAAGCAAAAGGTTACTATCTTTTAGTATTCTTCAACACAATGTAAAATGCAAGAATAATAGTATAAGCATTTTAATTAGGAAAATATATGAACACAGTGGCTGTGGGGCAACCATATTGAGCCCCCACAGAAAAGCAGAGAAAACCACACTGAAGAATAAGTGACGGATGATGCAGATGCACAGAGAAGAGACAAGAGGCCATGTGGTTCCATGAAGAGTATAGCTTCTTTAGCTCTTAATGGTTTTTGGATTCCTGGCTGTCATTCTGCTTGAGGCCCATCTGTACTTCCTACCTTTGAGACTTTTAAGTTATCCATTTCAGTGGACATATATGCTTTTGTCTACCCTGCGCCCTTTCCTTTGTTTGGGGGATCAACTCCTCCTTCATCCCATGCCAGTTCCAACATGTAATCACACGATCTTGCTTTTTTATCCACAGTGATTGATCCTAGGGAGATGCACATGACCTAAGCCAGGACAATCAGAGTCTTCTTCTGGGATATTTGTGAAATGGAAATGGAAGAGAGAAGCTCTTTTCTCCAAAGAAGGGAAATCAGCAAACTATGTCCTGGCCAAATTCAGAGTACTGCCTGTTTTGTTTTTATTTTTATTTTTTAAATTTTTATTTTTTTGGTTTTTTTTTTTTAAGATTTTATTTATTTATTTGAGAGAGAGAGAATGAGAGACAGAGAGCATGAGAGGGAGGAGGGTCAGAGGGAGAAGCAGACTCCCTGCTGAGCAGGGAGCCCGATGCGGGACTCAATCCCGGGACTCCAGGTTCATGACCTGAGCCGAAGGCAGTCGCTTAACCAACTGAGCCACCCAGGCGCCCTGTTTTTATTTTTTGAAATAATTATGGACTCACAGGAAATTTCAGAAATAGTAGGGAGATCCCAATACCCATCATTAAGCTTCACCCAATGACATCTTATGTAATTATCATATATTATTAATACCATGAAATTGACACTGACACAATATTATTAACTAGACTGCAGACCTTACTCAGATTTCACCAGCTGTTCACTTTCTTTTTGTCTTTATGTATAGTTCCATGGCATTTTATCATGTGTATAGAATCCTATAACCACCATCATGATCAAGATACAGAACTGTCCCATCACCACAAAAGAACTCCCTTTTGCTACCCCTTTTTAATAACATACTCCCCACTTCCTTCTCCAAACCTGGCAACCACTAATCTCTTCTCCATCTCTATAATTCTGTCATTTCAAGAATGTTATATAAGTGGGAACAAACAGCACATAACCTTTTGAAATTGGGCTTTTTCACTCAGCATAATACCCTTGAGAGCCATTCAAGTTGTTGTGTGTATCGATAGTCTGTTCCTTTTTATAGCTGAGTAGTATTCCATCTATAGATATATAACAGATTGCCTAACCATTCACCTTTTGAAAGACATTTAGGTTGTTTCCAGTTTCTGGCTATTATAAATAAACATTCATATATGGTTCTTATGTAAAAAGTTTTCATTTTCTAGGATAAATGCTCAGCAGTGCAATTGCTATGTCAAGTTTACACTGAACTTTTTAGGACATTGTCAGACTTGCAGCAACTCTGGAAAACAGTATGGAGGTTCCTCAAAAAGTTGAAAATAGAGCTACCATACGACCCAGCAATTGCACTACTGGGTATTTACCCCAAAGATAGAAATGTAGGGATCCGAAGGGGCACATGCACCCCAATGTTTATAGCAGCAATGTCCACAATAGCCAAACTATGGAAAGAGCCAAGATGTCCATCAACAGATGAATGGATAAAGAAGATGTGGTATACATATACAATGGAATATTATGCAGCCATCAAAAAAACCCAAAATCTTGCCATTTGCAACGACGTGGATGGAACTGGAGGGTATTATGCTGAGTGAAATAAGTCAATCAGAGAAAGACAAGTATCATATGATCTCACTGATATGAGGAATTCTTAATCTCAGGAAACAAACTGAGGGTTGCTGGAGTGGTGGGGGGTAGGAGGGATGGGGTGGCTGGGTGATGGACATTGGGGAGGGTATGTGCTATGGTGAGTGCTGTGAATTGTGTAAAACTGATGAATCACAGACCTGTACCTCTGAAACAAATAAGACATTATATGTTAAAAAAAGAGAGAGAGAGAGAAGATAGTAGGAAGGGAAAAATGAAGGAGGGGGGGAATCCAAGGAGGAGACAAACCATGAGAGACTACGGACTCTGAGAAACATACTGAGGGTTCTAGAGGGGAGGAAGGTGGGGGGATGGGTTAGCCTGGTGATGGGTATTAAAGAGGGCAGGTACTGAATGGAGCACTGGGTGTTATACGTAAACAATGAATCATGGAACACTACATCAAAAACTAATGATGTAATGTATGGTGATTAACATAATAAAATAAAATTAAAAAAAAAAGAAAAGAAAGAAATTGCCAGAATGATTTCCAGAGTGGCTGTACCATTTTACATTCTTACCAGCAATATATGAGAGATCTAGCTTCTTTGTATCCTTCTAAGTAATCAGTACTGTCAGTATTTTTTTTAAGATTACATTTATTTTTGAGAGAGAGAGAGAGGGAGGGAGCACAAGTTGCGGGGGAGAGGCAGAGGAAGAGGAAAAGCAGACTCCCTGCTGAGCAGGGAACCCGATGCAGGACTCGATCCCAGGACCCTGGGATCATGACCTGAGCTGAAGGCAGACCCTTCACCGCTTCATCGACTGAGCCACCCAGGGGCTCCAGTACTGTCAGCATTTTTATTTTAATCATTCTAATAGGATTGTAATAGTATCTCATTGTTTTAATTTGCTTTCCCTCTGGCTAGCAATTTTGAACATTTTTCATGTGCTTAGTTACCATCTATATATCTCCTTTGGGAAAGTGTCTATTCAAGTCTTCCCCCATTTTCTAACTGGATCATTTGTTTTCTTACTGTTGAGTTTAGAGAATTTTTTATATATTTTAGATATGGATTCTTTGTAAGATACATGCTTCGCAAAATCTTTTATTCTATTTTGTCTGCTATCTGTTTTTATAAATAAATTTTTATTGGAATTCTGTTTTACTTTTATAAACGAAATTTTTATTGGGACATAAACTTGCGTATATTTACGTAAAAAAATATTTATGTATTGTCTATGGCTACTTCCATGCTACACTGGCAAAATTGAGTAAGGTGCAACAGAGACCATATGAGAGACACCAGAGACCACTAGAAGCCTGCAAAGTCTACAATTATTTACTATCTGGACCTTTACAGAAAGTTTGCTGGCCCCTGCTCTAAAGTGGGGGAGGGGGAAAGATGAAAGCCTAGAGCTGCCAGAAGCCATGTTCCTCCACACATGAAGAAAGTCAATGTAGAGTAGAAGAGAATAAGGCAGATTTCCATGGAAATTAAAGGTAAGACCAGGAAGTTTGAGTCCAGGTTGCAGACCATTTTGTCTATGCTCTACCACTTCTGTGGAAGCCAACAAATTTCCCCTTTTGCCTAAGCTGTTTCAGATTGTGTGGGGGCAGGATGGAGACTTGCCATAGGGCATAGACAGTGTAAAGGAAAATCAGGATGAGGACCACTGACCAGCCTCAAATAGCCATCTTCGGATTTTCAAAAACCATTTGTCTTTAAAACTCAGTGGAGCTGATGACAGCTCCTGGTTTCTAGTATCTTTCAATTTAATAGTAGATCTGTATTCTTTTTTCATTTATCCCTTTACAATGAGTTGGGTTTTTTTTTTATAAGTGAGTGATAGTTGTGTTTCCTCTGTGTTATACAGAGAGAGAGAGAGATTTGAAGAAATTGGCTCATGAGATTGTGAAGGCTGGCAAGTCTGAAATCTAGGGCAGGTCAGTACGCCAGAAACTAGGCATGAGTTGATGGCACAGCCTGGAATCTGAAATGTATGGGACAGACCAGCAGCCTGAAAACTAAGGCAAAATTTCTATGTTATAGTCTTGAGACAGAATTCCTTCTTTTTTAGGAAACCTCAGTTTTTGGCTCTTAAGATCTAAAGAGCCAAAGGTCCTTGGGTGGCTCAGTCGTTAAGCATCTGCCTTCGGGTCAGGTCATGATCCCAGGGTCCTGGGATCGAGCCCAACATCAGGCTCCCTGCTCGACGGGAGGACTGCTTCTCCCTCTCCCACTCCCCCTGCTTGTGTTCCCTCTCTCGCTGTGTCTCTCTCTGTCAAATAAATAAATAAAATCTTTAAAAAAAAAAAATCTAAAACTGATTGAATGAGGCCCACCCACATTATTGAGGGTAGTCTCCTTTTCTTAAAGTCAACTGATTGTAGATATTAATCACATCTATAAAATACCTTCCCAGCAACTGGGCACCATAGCCTAGCCAGGTTGACACACAAATTTAATGATCACAGGAAGATAAAACAAAATTACTGCTTAATTATTATTTTTTTTATTGAAATCCAGTTTGGGGATTTTCAGCCACATTTATTTATTACTTACTTAT